TTTTATTTATTTTTTAATATTCATGATCTCCATGTAAGAGATTACATGTCCATAAAAATAAAGTCCAAAAATCCATCTCAAAAATAGATTTTTAAGAGGTCACAACATCTCTACATGGATTAATAGAAACGATCTCTATAGCTTTTATGTCACTCATGGATTATGAGAGTTCATCAATGGAGAGATTCCCGTCAACCATTAATGTTAAATATAGGAAAATTATATTATATATCTATTGTATAGTCTTTTTGTGTTTGTGTGGTGTATCACTTTAGCCTTTTTGTGTTTGTGTGGTGTATCACTATAATCCTTTGTTGAAAAAAAAAAAAACCTTGTGTGGTGTATCAGTATAGTCTATTTGTGTTTGTGTGGTGTATCACTATAATCCTTTGTTGAAAAAAAAAAAAAATTATGTGGTGTATCACTATAATCCTCTTTTTGTGTGGTGTATCACTTATAAAAGAAAATTTGTGTGGTGTATCACCATAAAAAAAAAATTTGTGTGGTGTATCACCATAATCCTTTGTTGAAAAAAAAAAATTGTGTGGTGTATGACTATAATCCTTTGTTGAAAAAAAAATTTGTGTGGTGTATCACTATAATCCCTTATTGAAAAAAAAAAAAAAACTAATGTCTTCGTCTCGTTTAGAAAAAAAAAAATTGTGTGGTGTATCACGATAATCCTTTCTTGAAAAAAACAAAAACTACTATCCTTGTCTCTTTCTGAAAAAAACACTTTCTTGACGGCTAGATCTTGTCTCCACAGATACCACCCTTCCTTTAGCTCTTTCCCTAGAGGCCCTTCCTTCGATGATCTAACTTTCTAGAAGCTAATCTTTTCGGTAATTCTTAACTAGTCGAATGCATGTAGTTTGCATGTATTAAATGCATTAAACATAAAAGGATCGTATGAAGTGAATTTCAATTTAAAATAAAAGAACAGCGAATATAGATAATGCATATAGTTTGCATGTATTAAATGCATTAAACATAAAAAGATGAAGTTAAATTCAATTTAAGATAAAAGAATAGTGAGTATATAGAATCAGTGTTTAAAAATGGAATCGAGCAATTCGAATCGGATATCAACTGGATCGTTCCAAATCCGGCCATTCACCATATTTCCACATCACCCATTCGCTACAATAAAGATTTTTTTTTTTTCAACGGTACTCGTGAAATTTATTTCACCAAACGACATCAATTTACTGCACTAAACAATAAATTATTGTTTTAAATTTTTTGCAAGGGTATTTGTGAAATATTTTTCAAAACTAAAGTAAGCAAGGGAAAAGTTCATATAGAGCAGACGCTCTAAACAATCAAATTCGAGCCTACCTCAAAACTTTCACTAGAAGATGTTGTTTTGATGCCCAAATATCCTTAAATTGATCATCTCGACATCAAGATGCATGGACGTGAGAAAAAAAATGAATTTTATGTTTTGGAAATAGTATATTTTGTAATGCATTTTTTGACCGTGAATTTTAAAGATTTTCAAGTTTTCATAGATATCTCGATCTACATTATTTTTTAAGCTTTAAACTTAATAAATAAATATGAAAATATAATTTAAGGCTATCAAAAAGATTTCCCGTATTAAAACCACATTCTTCAACATTATTTGAAGGTAGACTCTAACGATCTACACTATTTTTTAAGCTTTAAACTTTATAAATACATATGAAAATATATTTTAAGGCTATTGTTAAATGTTTTTCAAAATAAAGAGCGATCCATCTTTCTAAGATGTCACACTATCACCTTACTAAATGTCTCGCTAAATGTCTCGCTTCACCTTACTACCTTATTAAATGTCTCGCTTTAATAGGAGTTGTTCGTGATACCGACCTCAAGCCTTTTACAGAGATGAATTCTCTCTCAAAGTATGGATCTGGGACAAATCCATGTAATCTCACTTTTTATGAGAAATTATTATTTTAATTTTATAATATAGAAGTGTTTTTTAATATTTTAAATTATTTTGATGTAATATTAGAATATTATATTATAATTGATAATTATACAAACTTCCAGACTGGAAAACAATGCATCAATATTCACCTATTTTTATTAGAAATAAAAAAAACATTATTTTTAGAGATTTATACTGAATTTTTGGAAAAACAATTGGGAACAAAAATTGCAGATTCGGTTAATTCACCCATTAGATTTGCCAATCAGATCTGCCGATCCGATACGGGTACCAATTTATGTTATCGATCTGCTTTTTAAAATATTGGATAGAACTCAATAGAGTCATAAAAAAATAACAAAAAGCAAATTTTCAAAGCTATAAATAGGATTATGTAAAGCAATTTCGAAAAAAAATAAATTAGCGACTTCTATTTAAATATAGATCTTAGGTAACTCTAAATTCGAAAAGAAATAGAAAGAAATTTAATAATAAATAATAAATTATACAAATTAAGGAATAACACAAAAAAAGCACTAAAAACAATACAGAATAAACACAATATAATACTATTAAAAAAATTACCTAAAATTAATATACCTATTTAATCTCTTCCAATGTCTAAATATATTTTATCATCCAAACTAATTCGCTAAACAAGCTTTTCGCCAACTTTTATGTGGTTTATTAATTTTGGCCTCACAATACATAGAGAGATGGTTTATAGCACCAAAAAATAAAAAATAAAAACAAAAACTTAACACCGTAAAAGTATGTTATTCCTAAATCCATCATATTAAAAGTATGTGATTCTATAAAGAGTCAAAGACATGCAAAAGTTTGGCAAGTCTACATAGACACCCCATTTGAAATTTCGAGCAAACTACACTATACTAGTGAGCCATAGTATACCTTACCATAATCCATAGTCTCTAGAAAGCCATTACATTGGCCTCAAACTGGTCAAAATTATCAGCATGCATCAAACAGTGCCAGAAAATTAGTCCCAAGAAGTATTGAAATTCGGTGACCTTCACTGGACCAGCAAGGGGTTGTTCTAGGCCCACGACCCGGAGCTAGTAACGCAACAGTTATGATGATGCATCATAAGACGTGGGACTGTTCCGGGCCCTAGAAAACTACAAATATTTCTGGAAGCCTAAAGAGACAGTTTGATCACGTTGGATGAGCTTAGACTCGGCAATTTTGGCCGGATTTTCCCAAGAAAAATATTAGGAAAAATAGAGCTCAAGGAATAATACTCGAAAGATTCCATACACCCAACTTTATGTAAAGCTCCCTAACCCTCATAGAAAATCAACCTAAAATTGTTTAAAAATCACAGATAATCTCTAGAAAGCCATAGAAAATCCCTAGAAAGTTAGAAAAAACTAGTCCAAATCCCTAAAAAATATTAAGAAAAATTCTTACACCCAAAAATCTTAGGAAAATTCTTAGAATATCCCAAAATATTCCCTTAGGCTAGGAAACGTAGATCTAGAGAAACTCTAGGAAATCCATAGTCTTAATCCTCTCAAATTTCCTTACAAAAGTTCTCTAAGAAAAATCTCTAAATTCAAAACCTTAGGAACAAGATCTCCTAGGCTCATCGAATCCCTTTTGTGCCCACTCTTCAAGGCAAAAGGGTGTAACCAACTTGTTGTCCTGATACAAGCCCCAAGTCTAGGTTTCAGATTTTCGATTTAGCATTTCTCCTTTTCCCTTATTTTATTATCTAATGGACCCAGTTTCTATGCAGCCAAACTTGCACATGTAGAAATGTTGGCCTATGAATAAATCTAATTTTGAGATGATTTTTAAGGACACATAATCTTTAACATGGAGATCTTGAATATGAAAAAATAAATAAATTCTAAAAACTAGAAATAATAATTCTAGTAAGAAAACATTTAGACCGATAGTTTTTATTGTTTTTAGATGGAACACCTACTTGCATCAATCTTTACGATGGATGTTTTACTCTTTTTGAACCGCATATATAGTCATGTTGTCCAGCCCACATGAAACAATTTTCCTAAAAAGAAAAAGGGTCATGGGCTTAAACGTTTATCTTTTTAGGGTTAAATAGCTTGGAAATCTAAAAAGAAGGCTCATGGGCTTAAACGGTTTATTTTTTTAGGGTTAAAGAACTAAAAATCTTTAATAAAAAAAGGCTCATGGGCACAAAAGGCAACCCTTTTGTAAACTATGCAAGTCAAGACAACCAATGTAACACTTAAGTCTTATACAAAAGTAGGGCAGGTTACTGTATTTAACAAAAACTTTATATAAAGTTGCAACCTTATATTGTTGAAGTAAGGTGCATCTCAAAAATTATGTAGTGGAGAGTGCTCCGGTGTAGGAGAATCCTCCAACTGACTATCTCGACCTTGAGATTAATGGACATCAATAAAAAAAAGAATTTCAAGTCTAAAAAATATTGCATCATGTAACAAGTTATCTTGACCGTCTATTTTCAAGATTTTCAAAATTTTCTTGATCTGCTCGATCTGTACAATTTTTAAATTGTAAAATTTTATTACTAAGGATAAAAAGAGATTTTGAGGCCATCATAAAATTTTCGATACAAAAAACGTAAATTTTATAGGTGCACCTTACTTCTACTATATAAGGAGGCAACTTTATATTTATTATTATATTTATGCAGTTTTTGTTTTTTAGAGTCAGCACAACTCGGGCGACTTATTCGTATAAGGAGGCCATCTTATATTTATTATTATATTTATTGAGTTGACTTACTTGGATAAAAAGTCAACTTTATATTTATTATTATATTTATTGAATTTTTGTTTTTTGTCTAGAATCAACACAACTCTGGCGATTTACTTGAATTCAACCAAAAAAACAACCGTATCGGCTAAAATTCGAATACTAAGTCGTGTTTCAAAACATTATTGCGCATTTTATTTACGAGTATGTATATTTCTACTTCGTCTCAAGCATATTTTTTCTATTCCACGGTTATCAAAACCACATAAACATTATTTAGAATCTCCTCTTCCTCTTCATGTTCACGTCTCAAACAATCTCCTCTTCATCTTCAACCAAGTTGTTCTTCCACCTTGTGTCACATCACAACACGTGGGACTATTATTTGCAATCTCCCGATACACTCTCCTCGTGGCATATCAATATCCAATCCCATCATCCTCCTCACATCTAACCTCGTAACATCCCAACGCCTTTTATTTGAAATCACAGATTCATGAGTACTCATTAGAACTGCATACACAATCAACAATAACTAAAATAAATTAAAAAATGATTAAATTCTATCATGTATTCTTGAGTTAAGTATATGAGACAAACTAAACCAAGAAAAAACTAAATTATATAATGTATTCTAAACTTAAGTATAAGAGATAAAGTAAAAAATAGGCAAGATATTAAAAGACAAACTAAAAAATGGGTAAGATATTAAGTAAGATATTAAAAGAAAAAGAGAGTAGCAGAGATAAGAGAAAATAAAAATAGGTAAGTTAAAAGAAAAAGGGAGTATAGAGATGAGACAAACTAAAAATGGGTAAGATGTTAAAGAAAGGAGTACCAAAGATGATGAGGAGGACTTTTGTATGGCCATGGCCATATGTCAGAGAGAATAGCACCATCCTGTCGTCTCCCCGTCCATTCTGTTCATTCTTGACCTTACATACCGTCATCCTCCCATCTATTCCGTTGACAGTCACGCACCTTTTTCATAGCACCAAATAAGCACCAAATAAAATAATAAGCGAGTTCACAGTAAAACATCTTTCCCATAACACCAATCAATATAATAAGCGAGTTTTTTTGCCCAATGTAAATAACTCGTCCGAGTCTATATTATATTAAAAAATAATAATAACAAAAGTAAATAAGTTATGTATTATAAAAGGGTGCGGTTTCTATAAGGTTGCAACCTTAAAAAATTCAATTAAGCCGCATCGTAAAATTTTATCATAAAATATAATTTTATTGTAAAAAATTCTTAGTATTATTTTAAAATCTATTTTCATACCTGATTAGAAAATTTTAAATTTTAAAAATAGTTAAAATTAACGAGATTTTTAAATGTATAAAAATCTTGAAAATGGATGGTTTAGATAATGTATTGCTAGATGTACTATTTCTTGGCCTCATAAACTCTTTTTTTTCATATTCATATATTTCGGTGTCGAAATGATCGATTAGAGTATTTTTTCAACATTAAAACAACATTTTTGATAGATTTTTGAGGTGTATCTGTGATTCTACATTTTAAGGTTGCAACCTATATAAACTTTTCCCATTATAAAATATTCAATTTTCATCGTAGCCTTCTGGAAAAGGGGTTTGGGTCTCTTCACGAGGTTGAGGTATCCAATCCCATCTTTTTTTTCAAACTAATGCCAGAGTTTTTTATTTATATATAAAAATAAAATTAAAAATACCTATTTTAATAAAAAGCCTATTTTAATAATAAAAAAAAAAGTTGGTAATCACTGTTTTTCTAACACCTGGCTTTTCTTTTTTTATATAAAAATAAAAAAATTAAAGAACGCCTTTTTTTAATAACAAAAG